TCTCTCTCTCTCTGTCTTTCTCTTTTATACCCATCGCATGTAGCAAACAGTTGATCGCAGCGAGCGCTTCACGTAATCACCAGCATCGGACGGTGAGTTGCGCCGCCCCTGCCTGCCTTGCGTACGCGGCCCGTAATTCGTTAATTATTTTGGCTTATAATTTGAAAACTAAGCCTCGGAAAAAATTTTGGCAAAGGAAAAATCGTCTTAAAATTGAGTCAAGTATATGACATTGTAAGGACAGAAGGTTGTTTTGAATCACGTGTATCCATGAAAACGACTATTTTCTATCATGAAATGTATTTATATTGACGGAGAAAAAGATCTCTCTCTTCTTCAAAGATATCCAAATTAAAGAATCACGAGCGTCTGACACAAAACAGGAAAAATTCAAAATATCTAAAACATGTAGGATCTTTAATTATCGCGATATTGATTAAAATTTTATTATTTACTTTACAAGCAAATTTTTTCACAGCTTTTTAAATCATTTATCAACACGATGAGATTGATCGCGATCACCTGTCTACTGTCATTGTGCAGTTCTCTTGGCGTAGAATCGGCAGATGTGACACTCGAGCTCTAAAAACATATTCAAATTTTAGTATTATATAATTGCCATTAAATTTTCTTTTTTTCGTCCCAAAATATACGATAAATGTAATATATGTATATACATATACATATATTAGTCTGTGTGTATTTCAAATAATCAAAAATAAATATGTATTTATATATATTATAATCATGACATAGTCATTAATATTATTTTAATTGTGTTTCAAGAGATAAAAAATTAAGAAAAGTTTATTTCTCCAAGATTTATCTTTGGGAAATAATTTTTTATCACGCTTTACATTTTCTTATTCAGAAATAATATATGTATATATATATTTGCGTAATGCAAAATTAATGCATTGTGCATATTTATTGCAGAGACACCCTATTTAGAAAATAAATTTTATACGCATCTTATCGCATAAATTTATTTCAACTTTAGACACTGGAACAAGTTATGTCCGGATACTGGGCCGTAATCTATTTCAGCTGTCCGGCCACTGGTACATTGACGCGTTCCATTATTTATGTAAATATTTAATTAATAATTGATATATGTGGGTTTAAATAATTCTTCCCTGCTTAAGGGAATCTTAAGTTTTATATTAAAAATCTTTCTAATATTATAAATTGTATTATTTGTGACGGCCTACGCTTAAACGTTCGGCCGCTGGGACATTTATCTTATATCTATATTATTTTGTATTATTGTTCGGTCTGTTATCTGCATGTTCACTGTTGTTAAGAAATTTAGCTTGTAAATTAAATGCTCTATTTTAAGTTTCCAATTTAGGTAACAAATTATTTTTATAATTTTTGACAAAAATAAAATATCATTAAGTATAAATACCAATTTAAATTAGAATTGTATTTTGTCATTAAATATCTATTTATATCAATATTTCTCGTCAGCATAATACTTTTCTAGTTATGGTTGGACACTGGGACAAGTTATGTGTCCGGACACTCTGGGCCATAACCTATTTCAGCTGTCCGGCCACTGGTACATTGATGCGTTGCATTATTTATGTAAATATTTAATTAATAATTGATATATGTGGGTTCAAATAATTTTTCCCTGCTTAAGGGAATCTTAAGCTTCCGATTGAATGCAAATATTTATATTAAAAATCTTTATAATATTATAAATTGTATTATTTGTGACGACCTACGCTTAAACATCGAAACACCGATCTGTCATTTGTTATTGATTTTACAAATCAGGTAATATTGATTTTTACTGCACAGTGAGTTGATTTTATTATTTCTTAAGGTGCGAATTTATGGGACACTCGTTTCAGCGGTGTACGTGGTCACGTGACTTCGACTTGACGCTAGCGCCAAGAAAAAAAAGCTGGATTTTCTCAGCTTTAGCGTCAAGCCGTGCTGTTGGCCGTATAACGAGTTAACTTCGTCTAGTGCCAAATTAACACAAAAAAGAAACGGTACTGCATCGTGCTGTAAGAAAATACAAATGGAAAAATATTAAAATGGAATTTCAATATAAAATAATAATATTAGATATTTAATTAATTTAAATTTTTATTTTGAATTAATTAATTTTTTTATTATTAAAAAGCAAAATATAAAAAATGAGAATGCAGAATATACATCTCCTCATTGATTTGGATGAAACTTCATATTGCATATTGTAATGAGTAGAATACGAAAATAATAATTGAATTTGTTATCCAATATTATAAAAAGAGTTATAAAGCCCTCGCACAAACGAAAATATAAGGAACAGGGAACAAATATTAGAGATAAGCACTGACTTGATTTTTGTTAAAATGACTCTACAGTATTTTAAAGTAAAGTAATGTTACTTTAAAGTAACTTACAAGCTATATATACACCACATAACCTGGAAAATTGAAAGAAAAGTTACTTTAACAAAAGTCAAGTCTCCAAGTCAGTCCTTATCTCTAATATTTGTTCCTTGTTCCTTATATTTTCGATTGTGCGGAAGCCTTAATGAATTAAAGATGATACTTCTTGAGGTTAGGAAGTTTATCAGAGAGAATTTTGGCATTATTATATTTATTTAATGCAAGATCTACTTCTAATTATTCTATATTAATATTATAAATGTTTAAATTCAGTTCGATAAATAGTTATTTCATTAAATAAGCTTGATATACATATAATACATATGGTATTGACGCTATAAATTCGATACTAAATTCTTTTCATGCGTTTTTTGTAATGTAGCGTCAATTTTAATCCCCCCCCCCCTCTCTACATTGGTAGAATACAGACTGGTAGCCATATAAAAAATCCAATCACTTACACTGCCCTCTTCTGGAGAGAAATTAAGGTCTGGTAAAAAATAATATACATGTCGACACTGTAAGAAAATAATTTATTATCGCGAAATACAATAATAATCTGTTTAAAACAATATACTTTTGTTGAAGCAAAAGAGGAATATTTTATATATCGTTCTTTTCCATGATATGTACAAACATACATAACAGTATAATATCTTAAATATTATTTTTAAATGGTAGATTTTTAAATAATATATTTTTTTAGCGTGTGAATAAAGAGATTCCAATAATTTTCAAATTACAAGCGACTGAAACTACAGGTAGCTAAAGGGAAATAATACAAAATTACATTTTTCAGCTAATTCTAAATGAAATCTTATTTTAATAGAATTTCATTTAAAAATCGTTAAAAAATAATATACGAACAATATAACGTTTTATATATTTTATCCAAAGTTAAAAAAATAATTTTGTAAAAGTTATTGTTACCGATCCTAAAAAGTAACTTATTACTGTTATTTAAAAACTAATAAGTTTTTACAATTTTAATCACTTCTTTTTATTAACACTATTATAAAACCAAGCAATATGCAGAGTACACATAAATAAAATTTACTTCTTTTTATACACAACATTTCTTACATTTTTTAAATATTAAAATATAACGGAAGCGATATAATTTTGATATTAATATCGCTATCAACATAAAGCGTACAATAACTTTGATAATTTTGAGTCTTAATATCTAAATAAAAAAAAACATTTACAAAAACATTCAAAAAAAATTTTTTTTTATTTCTGTAAATGAATTAAAATAAGATTTTCTTAGTCTTTTTTTTTATAGATTTATAAATATGACCAAAAGCACCTTTCTCCATTTAGCTTCTTTTACCGTTTAGCTTGAAGTAATTTTAATATCCAGTCACTAATTCACAAGTCAAATTCGTTCTTAACATGCAGAAATTTATAAAAATTACACGATTCAATTTAAAATAGAATTCGTTAAATTTTATTGAAATTATTTATTATACCAAAAAAATGCTACGGTTAGAAATAATGCGTTATTTCCCAACTCTAATTCTCTTTATACTGAATGGATCTCTTATAATAAAATATTGTATAAATGCGAAAGCTTCCTCTTTCAGCTTTTTTTAAAACTTCCGAAAAAATTGATTTTGGAAAACTAATACGTTTTTGCTTCACATCTTGCTCGTTTCTGCTATATACATATTTTCAATCTTCGATTACAATTTTAACAAGATCTTCTTCGAGTTAAAATTAAGATCAAAGCAACTCTCAAAACTTCTTTAAATTATCTTAATCTATTAACAAATTGCTTAAAAATTTACTTATTTATTCCCAGACATACCGCCAAAACTTGAACAAGAAAGAATTACAAGTAGATTACATTTCGGATAAAAAATTTTTAATTGCAGTTGGTCATGCAATTTTTCTCCTACGATGAATTCCTTCCGCAGAGTAATCTTTTGAGATTTCTCTCGAAATACGGTTGCAACCAGAATCTCGCCCAGCAGAAGTTCTGCACCAGCCTAATATTTCTGATCTGCGGTGACAATCCCGAGCAGTTTGATTACGTGAGTAGTGATTCGCGATTGAGATACAACTCCGATCGAAACTTCCATTATCACGTTTCATTATTTGAAAATCGTGCAAACACACTTTAGATTGGATTTTAAGTATACATTCTCGTTCCCTATTTAGGCTCTACTGCCTGTCATCCTGAGTCACGATCCGGCCGGTTCTTCGACTAAGACGCTTCTGCACTACCTACAAGCATTACAGACGAACAAATTTCGCCAATACGACTACGGTCGCAAAAAAAATCTATTGATGTACAACTCGGCGGAACCTCCGGACTACGATCTGACGAATATAACGGTACCTATCGCATTGTTCTATGGTGCTAACGACTGGCTGGTTAATGTCTCGGTAAGTACTAAAGAACGCATGTTCAGATAAAATTTCGTAGCAGGGATTTATTAATGCTAATTTTATATAAGTCAAGCCTTGTATGTAGATTCGGGTAGGTGAAGAAATCGCGCACGATAATTTATGAAAACATTTTTTCAAGGAGATGCAGAAGCTCTCCCGCCTATTGCCCAATGTAGTGGACATGTACAAAGTGCCGTGGCCCAAATTTAATCACGTAGATTTTGTATGGGCCAAGGATGCGCCCAAACTCGTATATAAAAGAATACTCAATCTTATATAAAGGGGAAAGATCCAAATAATATTATCGATGATAACATTATTGATAAATACATGATAAATACATTGATATAATGTTACATCGACAATCAAAATAAATGATGAATATTGCACATTAAATGGTGACTATTTAAATTATATTAATGCTTTTAATGCCTAAAAATAAAGTGACTGCGAGCGTAGTATAACATTTTGAATGCGGTATGACTTTTTGACGTTTTGTGCGTCATATCTTAGTGCAGTGTCCACGTTTTTTGGTCAGCATTTCTGGATTCTTCTGGAAACAATCGGTCTGCACTAATGGAAGTACTTTTACTTCTGTAACTGTACAATATAATTTCCTAGCCGACATATATATTTAACTGGTTTATGTGTTGCATCTTATTTGGTGCCACTTGCATTCTAATTGCATTCCTCCTCGACCACTTACATGGAGCTATCTGGAAGAACGAACAAAATGAATTTCAAATTAAAAAAAAATTTCAAACCGTTATTTATATTTACTCGACCTGTGCTAAACGCTTGTGACTTTTCTTCGAATCAAAACGGAAACAATGAGTCAGGCAAAGTCGGAGAGACGATATAGACCAAAACAGAGACAGCGTATCAACCGACCTGCTTCAAATGTAAACGCTTTGTGACAAAAAATCGGATCTGCGCCTTCTGTAAAACGTAAGCCCGATAATATTATAATATGTCGCAGCTGACTGCATTTATCTAAAGTGTCCATAGTTAAATCTAAATTAATGAAATGGATGGATGGATAAAATCAGAACAGTTGATACTTTAAACAATAAAATAGATTCTTTCGATACCAGGGTGCAAACTTTTGAGATGCTCTAATGCAGTGCAATGCGCTTCGTGGAAGGAAGGAATCGTGGAGTCACCAGGACGTAACATATATATATTTACATTTTAAGTAAACAATAAACGGATGATTTAAACTTTTTCAGACATTTATCTGTCCGATCTAAGAGGAACAATCAGTCCAATATCTGAATTCTCTATATTGGGGTTGCATCAGAAATTAAACTGATAGAAATAATTACATTTTTAATCTCCTGCCAGTTGCTCTTTGCAAGTTTTATATAATTCTCATGACTCAAACTCAAATATTTTTTTTTTTTTATTTGGGCAAAAAGGAGGAAGGCCTTGGCAATGCCATCCAGCCTATATGGTACAAATCATTTAGCGACTACACATTTGATATTACAGGTTAGACGCAAAATATAAACAGAATCAGCAGACGAAAGGAAAAAAAAAGGACACAAATATAACAATATTAGAGTTAGTAACAAAAATTGAATATAAAAGTAAAAAAGTTGATAACGCAGCATAAGATTTACACAAATAATAATTCACTTATAACGCAGCATAAAGATTTACCCAGATAATAATTCACTTATAACTAATATAATACTGTGTTAACGTCCAGATTAAACCAGATTAAATCAATTTAAATCAAGTCAACTCAAAACAAATTAACTCAAATCAAATTAAAATAAACTAAACCAAACTAAATTAAACTAAATCAAATTAAATCAACCTAAATCAAATCAAACCAAGTTAAATTAAATTAAATTAAATTAAATTAAATTAATTAGTCAATCAATTAACATATCCATTAATCAGTTAACCAATCAATCAGTCAGCCAATCAATCAATCAATCAAACAGTCAGTCAGCCAAGATAGACATATTAGACTATATTATATATAGGTCGATTTAATAAATTAGATCATATATCTAATAGCGGTTTAACATAAAATTACAGACGAAGGCGGTGAAGTAATAATAATACAGATTTATAAACTAAACTATAGTAAGCGATCTAAGAAAAGAAAGAGCAGATTAGCCTTGGAATTGAAATTGAAATAAAGATAGAGTTCAGATTAAGAGCTAAGAATTACAGTAATAAAATCTTACATACTATGTTCATTTATAGTGAATAGTAATTATTTCAATAACATCTAACTTAAGTAATTAGTACTAGCAGATTGCTACCCGTACGGATTATACAATATAGTCAGGTACGAAAACTATTTAATAACTAGTAAGGTATTAATATACATATATATAAAAAGAATTAATCGCTAGAGACGAGGACGATACTCCGACGGAGACAGACAGAGTGATAATCTGTTTCCAATTGACAAACAGCGATCATATTCTAATCGAAACGGCATCAATAAACTCTGCTAATGCATAAATTGTCTTGGGATCCATTACATATAGAAATTGCTCAATACAGAATGGACCAAAATGATGTAAAGATTTAAGTTTGGAAAGTAAAGCAACTCTCTCTCTCTCTCAAATAATGAACATTGCCAAAAAATATGATTAGACGATTGGATAGATTCCCCACAATCACATGACGGAGAATCGATGATATGGTGTCTGAACAAGCTACTCGCTAAGGATGTATGACCAGATCTTAGTCTATTTATAGACACCATACTTTTGCGTTTAAGATCCAGTTTATAAAACCAGGGTTTACGATTCTTCTTAAGGAAATGATTAAAATAGTGTGATCCTGTTGATTGACCGCGATTCTCTACCCAAGAAAACAAGTCTGAAAATAAGTTTTCCTTCCAATTTGCGCATAGATCGCTCGAAGGGATTAGAAAATCAGCATCCCTTCCGATTGTTACAGCCTCTTTGGCCGCGCGATCCGCTCTCTCATTACCGTCGATATTTAAATGAGCAGGAATCCAAAACAAAAGAATTGATCTGCCGGTATTTGAAAAGTTTTCCAGTAATTCAAGAATTGTTAATATTAAATGTGATGTGTTCTTATTCCTTTTGCTGGGAAGTAGTGCCAGTAACACACTTTTCGAGTCAGAGAATATAAAAATTTTGTTGTTGACAGGGCTCTTTAAAGCAATTCTAAGCGCCATTATGATTGCCATAGCTTCAATGAAAAGATCGAAGCTTTGCACGATGTGCGAAAGCGATAAGTGATATCATTAGATGCATCGATAACTGCGAAACCCGCAAAAGAAAGATTTGTAATTTTAGAGCCATCAGTAAAAAAGTAAGTCTCATTATCTGATATAGGGAAAAAGCAAGAGAAAGCTGCGGAGGGGTGAGAATCATTCTGAATTAATTTGCCTTCCAAAAAAGAGATCCGCGGCATGAATTGTTTCAGTGCAAGAAGATACAAACAATCCACCGGAATATCTGATTTAAAAGTTAGATGAGCTTGCTGATAGCTAATTAAAAAACAGTTATATAAGAAAGGAGGCGGGAGTTTAACTATATTCGTAGGGCAATCCAGAAATGTTTGAATACACTCCAAGATCGGAGTTAACAAATTTGTATTACGGGTCAGCACCCTAGACAAAAAATTACAGCCCAGAAATTTAAACCTGTCTTCCAACCTAGGCTCCCTGGCTTCAACCAACATGACGTTAATCGGCGTAGATTTCCTATAACCCATAACAGTGCGAATCGCCCGGTTTTGAAGAGTTTCTAGTTTTACCTTGAGGTATTGAGGAACATTAAACCAGACGAAGGCTCCATACTCCATCCTTGATCTAATGAGGCTCTTGTACAAAGTGAGTAACATGGACGGGTCAGTACCCCACCAAGTAGATCTCAGAAATTGTATAATTGCAAGCGGTTTGAGACAGGTTATTATTACTTTATCCACATGGGCGTTCCATTTAAGGTTACTTCGGAACAGTACACCTAAAAACCGTATATGGGGTACAGCCTGAATCTCTGCATTATTAACTAGAACTGAACTGAGTTGGTCACGCTTGCTCGTACTTCTGTTAAAAATGCAAAACTGAGTCTTATCCGGAGCCAGAGATAGTCCTAAAGTATATAACCAATCCGCCACACTCTTACTAGCCTTCTCCATGTTTGCAATAGCACGAGCTTGATTCCCATGGGTAATATATAGGCAGACATCGTCCGCGTATTGCAAAGTTTTGATATTCGGAATATCATGTATCTGGTTCTCAAGATCCGCCACATAAATGGAGTAGAGTATAGGGCTTAGAACACATCCCTGGAGCAAGCCTTTATACACATGTCTGATTAAGTCAATGTCGCCGTACTTAAACTGAACTTCTCTGAACGATGTAAGATTAAAAATAAATTTAATAAAAGGTGGTAGTAATCCTATATTGACTAGTTTCCTCATTAAGATATCCCATAAAACATTATCATACGCCCCTTTGATATCCAAGAAAAGTGCCAGCGTGTCCTTGTTGTTGTACCAGCCATTAAGTATATTTGAATGTAAAATTGCGATATTGTCCAGACATGATCTGTTTTTTCTAAAGCCCGCCTGACTATTAGGAAGAAGGCAATTCCTTTCCAACCACCAGCAAACTCGATTATTAATCAGCCTTTCCGCAACCTTCAGTGTGCATTGCGCTAGTGAAATAGGACGATATTTATTAGAATCTTTCTTAGAGATAAAGAAAATCGAAAATTTCCTCCATTCGGATGGGAACACGCCCGATTCGATTATCTCTGTTAACAATAAAAGTAAGCATCTTCTTGATTCCACAGGAAGGGCTTGTAACGTTCGATAGTCTACCCCATCATTGCCCGGACACGAATCAGGTCTAGCCGCATCGATAAAATGGTTGAGTTCCTCAATCGAGAAAAATGGAAAAGAAGTAAAATTATATGAAGAATCCTCTAATCTCAAAGTTTCGGGAGAGCACCACGGAGGACATAGCACATCTATCTGATTGGAGATAATACCAAGAGAAGACTCGTCATAAGCATTTGCTGTTTCTCTTCTATGAAACTTGTTACCCATAGTCCTTATTTTTTGCCACACATATTTTAGGCTTGAGAATCTGTTCAGAGAACCACAGAATTCCAGAAAATATTGTTTCTTCCTTTTTTGGAAGAAAGATTTAGCTATAGCATCCGCCTGTTTATGCAAACAAAAATTCTCCATAAAAGAGAGATGTTTGAATTTGAAAAAAGCAGCTTTTCTCAGTCTAGCTAATTTTTCACACTCACAATTCCACCAGGGTGA